ACATAGAGTTTAGAGGCTTGAGAAGAAGACGAGCATAAACAAAGTGTTATTAGAGGACTTTCTCAGGATAAGTGAAGTTTCAGACTAATATTCCTCCTGCGTGTCCTCAGGGTCCTCTGGAGGTGGCTCAGGTGTTCCTGTCAGAGATTCCCAGCGACCCCAAGCTGTACAGACACCACAATAAGCTGCGGCTCTGCTTCAAAGACTTCACAAAGAGGTAGGAACTGTGCTGATCAGTCCACATACATGTCATGTGTCTAGAGGACACACTATTTCATGTGGAAGCACACCATAAGGAGAAATTCCGTGATCCATCACCGTAAATAATAAAAATAATGATCATACATAATTATGAGATTGAGTGTTTTGATTACATAGCATTTGGTGAAAGGTGAGCGTTAGACTCACCTACAGATGACAACTTTAACATGAATGAAAATCTTTGATAAGCTACAAAGAAATGTGTGCAGAGATTCTTTGTCCACGGTAGCACGCATTTATTATTGTACAGAATCCTCACGGCACTATTTTCTTTGCCAAAGGTGTGAAGACGCCCTGCGTAAGAATAAGAGCCTGATTGGTCCGGACCAGAAAGAGTACCAAAGGGAGCTGGAGAGGAACTACCACCGCCTGAAGGAGGCGCTGCAGCCCCTCATCAACAGGAAGATCCCCCAGCTCTACAAACCTGTGCTGCAGGTCAACGCCCACAGGTACGACTGTCTCAACATACTATATACAGGGTTCCCGCGGGGTCTTAAAAAGTCTTAAAAAGTCTTAAATTTGATAATCTGAATTTAAGGCCTTAAAAAGGTCTTAAATATGACCAAAAAAATAAGAAAGGTCTTAAATATGATTTAGAAGGTCTTAAAAATGATCGGATTTGAAAGGTACTTCTGTGTTGAGATCGCGTCTAAATGTGTTTTGGGGGGAAATGTCCGGGCTGCAAAGTAACCAGTACGGTAAGAGCCTTTCAGTTCCCCCCAACAATTTGTATTGAAATAAATCAACATGGAACCAGTAATCACTAACTTTGTTTCCCCCGGCCCCTTATTGGAGAACACCCAGCTAGTAACCTAGCAAGCTTCAGCTAGCGGCAGTCAGAAACTCATGTATCTTAGAATCTACTTAAAAATAAATATGGGGAAGTGTAAGTTCAACCGTATTTTAGCGTTAGCTAGTGCAGCAGCTCCTGCAACAACACCGGCGGACCTCTGGGCGACGTTTGGGTGTATGTCAACCCTAAAAGCGGAGGTGCCGTAGACGCTAAATACCGTAGCTAAACACCAATCATACAACAGCAACGATGAAAGATTGTAGCCAAGGCAGCAGAGCTCTGAATATAGCTCTTGTCTCTCTCTCTCTCTCTCTCTCTCTCTCTCTCTCTCTCTCTCTCTCTCTCTCTCTCTCTCTCTCTCTCTCTCTCTCTCTCTCTCTCTCTCTCTCTCTCACACACACACACACTAGGGCTGCTCGATTATGGCAAAAATCATAATCACGATTATTTTGGTCAATAATTGATATCAAGATTATTAAATACGATTATTCATTGACTTTGAAAACATCCATTTATTGAACTTTAAAACAAATAATAATTTGAACAGTATCTTTTTAACTGTTGATTAACCTGAACGTATAATTCAACTGCAAAACCAATACAAAAATAAATTAAATAAATTATACATTTAAATAAATAATATCAAAATAATAAATACCAATAAACAAGATCAACAAATATTTTGGAGCGCACTTCCACAAGCTACTAAACATATATAAATATGATAAATACAAATAAATTAGACTAAAATTAATTAGATCAAATATGTTGTAGTGCACTGTCACAACCGAGCAAAGCTAAATAATTTCGTAATTGTGGCAGGCCAAAATCGTAATTGCGATTTAAAATACGATTAATTGCACACCCCTAACACACACACACAAGCACACACAGACACATACACTTTTTGTCTAACACGCTAACACAGTTCTGTTATGCCTTTACATTTACTTTGTAAGTAATTATGGGACGTATTTCTTCTTTCATAGCAATTTTCCTTCATACTTTCTTGCCGTGAAATAGGTCTTAAATTCTATTCAAAGTGGTCTTAAAAAGGTCTTAAAAAGTCTTAAATTTGAGTAGGTGAAACCTGCAGGAACCCTGTATATACCTATGTTTCTGTTTAACATACTTAACTATGACCTTTTTTCGACATACTATGACTTTTTTAAGTTGTTGAATTATTTGACTATGACTTTCTATGATATCCTAGGCATACTTGAGTTTTTAGTTTTCAACATACTATACTATGCCAATATTTTTCCTTTTTCAACATACTATAACATTTAAAAATGTTTGTGATATTTTACTGTGACTTTTTCTGATATTTTCGGCATTCTTGACGTTTTTATTTTCAACATACTATATTATGACTTTTTTACTACATACTATACTTTCGACTATTTTTAACATACTATATACTATGACTTTTTATTTTATTTTTTGTTCTTTTTCGACTTACTTTTTCTAATATTCTGTTCTAATAAACCTTCTTTTTCGAGCCGAAAGATGTTGGGTTAATACGGTGGTCCAAGTGTTTATTTTTTTTAAAAGACAGTTTAGGTGGTCCTAAAACACATGGAAAGGTTCTTTAAGAAGTCTTATATTATTTAACTTCAGGGTTCCTGTATTTACCTTTACATTTAGTTGTGGCTGTATAATTAAACAAGTTTTGTTTTTGCTTTTGTAAAAATCATGCAGCAATCATGTAGTCCGAGAGTCCTTGACCTGGGGGGTATACTACGAATCTAGTTCAACATATCCTGGATATGTTTTGAGTTATCCGGTTGACTAAATAAAAAAAAAAAACGCTCTCGCTAAACGGTCCTACGACGCTGGCTATCAACTCGATCGCTCAAACCAGCCGTGTCCTATCTAGTTAGGTGCGCGTTCACATGAAAGGGGTTGTATTTGGAGTGTTCGACCAATCACAAACATGGACAAGCCGTGTACTGACAGCGCAGCGCGTCATATATTTCCTGAATGAAAAGTCAACATATTAGACAAATATGAAGACGTTAAACTTTAAACATCCATGACTTAAACACTTTATCCAGGATAAAAGCCACATAGTTGCAGCTGCAAGGTGAATACTGCTGGTAAAAGAAAAAGTGTTTGAATACGTTCATTAACAGTTTTATGATATCACTGCTGCCCCGACACGAGTGGATCTGACTTTAATTACATTTGACTCGAGTGTTTCGTCAACTTAATGTGTTGCTTAAAAGAATACTTCTGCATACAGTATGTGACACTGTGAGTGTTGCACGGCCAGATACGGCTCAAGAAGCTGACTCAAATAAGGAAATATATGATACATTATGATGTGATATGATATGAATGATAATGGGACACATCGACGTCTGCACTCACAGTGCCGCGGACTGTACTTAATGTTACTTTGATCCGGTTACTTTTGTTGTGGCAGATATTTACGTAAGCTTTCTTAACGCTAATGTTATAATAGTCAGATTGCTCTGAAGATGGGAGGGGATATTCTATTAATTTTCACGTTCACACAGTCGGTGATTTTGGCCGGTCGTCTTTCCTGCAACGGCAGTTTAAACTGTATTTCCTTTCTCCTCCTGTCATATGAATTGATCGCTTTAAACTCCGCACACTGAGCTCTGATTGGTCAGCAGGCAGTGCTTTTATCCTAGAACCTATCCTGCTCCGGAGGATAGCCGTTCAGAATAAGTTATCTTGCCCGCTAAAAAGTGAACCAGCTTCGTAGGATCGGAAACCCCTGAAGTTAGCTTGCTAAACGAAAATCTTGATTCGTAGTATACCCCCCTGGTAGTTCAGGACTCTCGGACTACATTCTGTGATGCGGTTTCACGCCTCTCTCTGTCCTGTGTTTGTATTACCGGTATTTACGTAACAATGCGTCCTTAGAGTCTGGTTATTCTCACCGGCCATATTTCTTTTTTCTAACGGGACTGTAAATATCAGATAGGCCAGCCCAACGTTGCTTATGATTCAAGTCTTATTTAGATCACTGCGCTGGAATCCCAGTTATTCCCCCAAATCACTTGGTTGTCCGATGAAAGAAATCTGATATTTGTCTCAATTAAATCACGTTTCTTGTTTTTCTCGTTTCCAGGGATTCCTTCAGCAGGATGAGTCTTCGCAAGCTTGACATTTGAAGATGAAGAATACACACACGCGACAAATTGCAATATTAATTTATTATTGAGTGTAAATAGGAGTGTTTTGAAGGTTGGACAGTGTTTTGGAGAACGTGCTAAAAAGAAAGGCTGAAATGTTGCAGCTTGGTACGTTCCAGGGTCTTTATTTGTTTACAGACAAACTGTTACACCGCGAGAGAGACGGACACGTGGTTCTGGAGATTAAAGAGGTACCTTGGCATTTAGGATTTGACTTTGCTGGCCATGAGTCAGACAAAGGGACATATCTTTGTATTTATCCCACGCTTCCGCTCAATGAAGGCTCATAATGTAAACCTTTACTTTTAAACCCATCAGCCTGCTGGATGCAAACGAACAAGCAGACCATAATAACCCTTTGTTGGTTATTAAAGTGCCAAAAGTAACTCTTCTGCCAATCAGTCTGCAGGAAAGGTACAATTTTAAAAGTCAAGGTGTCTTTTTAATTATATAGTGTGTCAAAAATCTGTATCCAATTTAATGTGTGCACTTTTTTTATTACGGTGTAGCAATGCATTTTACAACTTGAACGTTGATGTAATTCAGAACGGAATGGTGAGGAGGAAAAACATGCAAAAACGGTACCATTATTTATCATGAGGCTTTATTATCATTTTAGTTGAAAGAATGTTTTTAAAGTAATTTGAACATCCTTGTATAATTTTATGTAGTTTTGTTTATTTTAAATATTTTACAAAATAAATATTTTAATGTTCAGCTGGGTGTGTTCTTCTTAATGTGTTGTTGTCGTGGGTAACAGAGTTTCAACAGACAGAGAATGTGAAGGTAAAAAGTTTATTGCTTCTAGAATGAACCCGTCAACATGAATATATTACAGCTGGAATGAGGTTTAAAGAGATGACACACAGGTCACATTAAAGCAGATCTGTAAGCGTTGTGTTCTATCCCAAAAGACCCCATGGAAATATGATTCATACTGAAATGCATCCCATAATGGGTGTTACCCACCAAGCTTAATAACTGATTCACTCCCTGAAACCGTAGAAATACTGTGGCCGTTTCTCAATGTCGAGTAAAGCTGCTGCAGAGACACTATTTCAAGTGTACGACGTCATCGAGTGGCGCCGAAGGACTGTTTAAATGCCCAGCATTCAGCGCCACTCGATGACGTAGTATACTGTAAATAGTGGCTCTGCAGCAGGTGTACTCGACATTGAGAAACGGCCTCTGATGTACAACCTGAGATGAGAAATGTCAGCTTGCCTGTATAATGTTACCTGACTATAATATTACACTAAGTGATACTTGTTAAAAGCACTGGAGCACAAATAATGAACTTCCTGTTGTGTGTTTTAAGTGTTCACAGGAACAGATTTACAAGTTTGAGGAGCAAATATGAATTTACCAAAGCTATCAAATCCATAACTTAGATGTTCGCTTTCAAACGCTTTCAGTCTTACAAATCTGACACTGAACTCCATTGTTGTCTGATAGCTAGCGGTTCAAACGTTTTGGCTTAAACAAACGCTCTCACTGAACTCTAAATCAGGAAACGTACCAGTTTAAAGCAGATCCAGATTTCAGGTCTTAGTTTGCACATTCAAGCTGTAAAGGTTACACACTAAATTAGCAGTTTTTTTATAATGTCTTAAATGTATCTTTTAAAAAAACTGAATAGCTTATTTATAGAAATATGTTTCACTTTTATGCATCTTCTTTGTGAGACACGCGGCGGCCTGCGTATAGCTTGACTCAACATTTCCGTTTTATGTCAAATGCTATAATTCTAAATGCCACAACTCAAACACTATAGGTTGTATAAGCAGTCTGTAGATATATTACAAATACATCTGAAGGAATGAGTGCAAAACAGATTCAAAGAGTTGGTGGGCAAAGATTTGACTTGAAAAATATTTCAAGTAAGAAATGCTACATATTGTTATCTCTAACTTCATGAAGCATTTTCTGTATTTCTCTGCCAATAATAACAATATCTATTTTCTCTAGTTGAGTAACTGATTCCAAACAAACAGCACTCACTTCTAATTCTTGGATCTCAGAAAAGTATCCTGTTAGAAAAAGACATCTCAACGTGTTGCATTTCATTCCATTGGATTTGAGTTCTAAAGTGCTTTTTAAATGTGTAAAAAGGGACCAAACTCAATCACTGAGAAAACACAACAGGACAGTAGAGACATGACGGTAAAGGGAAAAGTCAAAAAGACAGGTCAGGTCACATCCCAAAAAAAAGAGGCTCAAAAAGTCATCACGGAACATAGAAGTTCCCGAATGTCCGCTCCCTGCAGTGAGGGGGGTCCTGACTGTCCGCTCTGCAGTGAGGAGGCTCCTGACTGTCCGCTCTGTGGAAGAGTCTTCAGTTCAGGTGTTACCATGGCAGCCACAGTATGATTGGCACTGTCTGTAATATTGCAAAACACAACTGTACTTTGTCAAAAAGCCCGTCTGCCCCCCCCCCTCCGGAGTAAACGGCGTGTTCCCGTTAGGGCTCAGGCATCCTCCTGTAGAACAGCAGGTAGGGGGTCGAGGAGGAGGACGTTTCTGGAGAGCAGGCCTGCAGGAAGTCCTGTTCCTCAAACAAGCGCACCTCAGAGTCATCGAACAGCAGCCATTTGCCCTCGTAGTCCAGGAGGTTGTGCAGAGCCTCTGTGGCCCCCGCCCCCCCACAGGAGGTCTCCTCTCCTGCTTCAGTGTTCTGTCCCATGACAGGTTTCCTGCGCTTGGACCCCTCTGTGGCTCCACTGCTGGAGGATTTCTCCGACTGTTTGCCGCTGCTCCCAATGTCACAACTGGTCAGACTCCTCTGGCCCCCCAGGAGCCCGACCCCCCCCCTCCAACAGCTTCTTCCCTACTGTTTTAGCCAAACTGGCCCCTCTCTGTCCCCTGGCATTCAGGCTGAAAGACACCTCTCCATCGTCAAAGTCCGACCCTTCCTCCTTCACCCTCGTCTCCTCCTCCCTTTCTCTCTGCTCCCACAGCTTCACGTCCTTCAGCTCAGACATGCGGCAGTAGGCGGTGTAATGGCCACTGCTGATGGTGATGCCGCTGTGCATGACCACAGCGAACAGCTGATAGCGCAGACCCTTAGTGGACGAGGGCCGGGTGCACCACTCATCCAGAGACAGGGTGAGGGGGGTCTGCAGGGGGGTGTTCACTTTGGACAGCCCAGCATACGGGTCCAAACTAGCAGGGGAAAAAGGGAGATGGGTTAATATCTGTGATGGGGATTTGAAAAGTGACACTGTAAATAAATAACACAAAAGTCCAAGTGTGTCATGAAAGTGTCATGAACACTATCAAACGTAATAACATTTCAGAAAGTCTTCATATTTTACACAATGTCATAAAAAGTCTACTAAGTATAGTATGTCATATTTCTTAAAAAAAAAACATAAAATATCAAAGAAATTGTTTATTATTTCTTAAGAAAATGCCACAGTATAGTATTCCTTGAAAAGTAGAAAAGGTGCTAGGATAGTGTGTGTTTTGAATTGGGAAAATAATCCTCTTGGTATACAATAATAGTAATTCAATGTAAAGGAACTATAGTCTGTCTTAAAGGTAGGGTAGGTAAGAATGGAGAAACCAGCTCGAGTGCGCTAGAATTTGAAAGTACACAACCGGAAAGAATCTGCCCCTTCCTTCAGACTTCCTTACAGAGCCCCTCCTCCAACACACACGAACACGACCAATGAGATCACGAGATAAGTTTGTGCACAGATGGAAGGCTGACAGGCAGGTAGGCCATCCAGTTATTTTAGCCGGGCCGGCTAAAATGATTGGTCGTGCTTTTTACAGTATTACGGCTTCCACAGATGACATTTTTTTATGGATTTATTGTCAAAGCACTTAAGATATTCATTGCTATCGGGATGTTAAGAGCATTCCATGGAATATAACAAAAATTAGGGATGCTCCGATCGCCAATTTTGGGGCCGATCGCCGGAATCAGTATCGGCCGATACCGATCACCGATCCGATCGAGTGGGCGGGGGCTATGGGGATCTTCCATTTAAAGTGATGTTTAAAACTCAGTTAATGGGGCTCATTCACTGGCGCTTCCACAAACAACAACCAACATAATTATTACATTCAAATGAAGTACATTATTCAAGTTTACATTAACTTTGGATAATAACACGGGAGAAATAACGGGAGCCTGTCTCTTTTCCTCTCTCCCTCTCCTGACAGCCCGTCAGTATCTCATGCAGCTCACTGATCCAGTAATGAGTGACCCGATAGTGAAGAATAAATATATTTATAACTAGTTTAGCTTGTTCCAGAGGTAGATCAAATAGCTAAGTGTGTTAGGTCTAACTCTTAGTGTGTGTTTTGCTCCGCTCACCGGTCCGTCACAGCGGGTGGAGCTGCAGGATTTCTGCTTCACACACGTTGCATACCGCTATTTTATTGTCATTTTCGGACACCTTAAAATACTGCCAGACTGGTGAAGCCATTTTTGCGAGCTTGTTTTGCCGCGCACAGAGAAAAGTGTCATGTATTTTACGTCCAAATGTTACGTCATGCAATCGGCTCTCGCGATCGGCATTTTTAGAGAGCACCGATCGATCGGCCGATATCGATCGGTGGCCGATCGATCGGAGCATCCCTAACAAAAAGTGTTTCTAAAGTGAATTACCTACCCCACCTTTAATGTGATGATATGATGATTGCAATATACTAAGCCACGAGAAAGTCTTAGTACAGAAGGTCAAACATTGTTATAGTACACAGTTCTCCTGAACTCACTCGCAGCTGTTGGCAGAGAAGCGCTTCAGGTGGATGGTGATGACTTCAGGAGTTTTGTCGAACAGCAGGCTCCTCTCGGCCTCGGTGTAGTGGTGACACGTCTCACAGAAGTATTTGTCCTCCCCGACGATTCGCTCCACCGACGCAAACTGACCAATGGCCCACTTCAGAGTCTTCAGCTCTGGTTTGGGATCAGGAGAGACTGTGGGGAGAGAGAATAACACTCAGTAAATTATTATGTTATTATTTTTCATCTGAATCGTTATCTGGAAGAAATGCTGTACAGATACGTTTGAATTAAAATTGTATTTGTCAAAAGGTGACCTCAAAGAAAACCTCAGGAACGTGTTTGTCATTACCCACTTCACCCATGCTTAGAGCTTTAAATAAATCATGGTAGAGGGACTTCCATTAGGAACGAGTGCAAACTGAATATAAGCTGAAGCTGAAGGGCCCCTCACCCTCAGAGAGGTCGTCGGGGCTGCTGGGCTCCTCGTCCAGCACGGGGACGCTGATGTCCTGGAAGTCTTCTCTCCTCTCAGTGAAGCTCTCACACTCCAGGCAGCGCGTCCTCAGCACCAGGCAGCCCTGGAACAGCTGCTCCATCAGGTCCAGCCCCTCTGGAGGACACACACACACACTTTATTTTTAACTGCTTGATCTGGGGCATGTGGAGGAAAGAAATCCTCTTATAAGCATAATCTGTTACCAAACTGTCAGTTTATGAGATATTTATCATTTCTACAACATGTATAATTAGAATGTCCTATACCTGGCCATATAGATTTCCAATATCAAATCAATGCTTGTTCTGTTTCTCCTCTGCTAAAAGCGCCCCCGTCCTGTTCCTCTAACAGAAGTGATGTCGTACCTTGAGGTTCAGCCGTCTTCTTGTCCTCAGCCGTGTGTCCTGCTCTCTCCTCGGCGCTCCTCTTCTCCTCGGCGACAGCGTTCTCCTGCTCTGCTTTGCTTTGGTTCTTCACAGAGCTGATCTTCCCCACGCTGAGGAACTTGGAGAAAATACTGGGTTGTTTCCCAGAAGGCCTCAGCCAGCTCAGCTTAGACTTCTTCTTTCTTTTTCCCTCTGCCTCTTTTGAAGCCTTGTCGCCTTTCCCCTCCCCGTCACTCCCCTCCTCCTTGTTCAGTATCTTCGTCCCTTCCTTCTCCTCTTCATCTTTGTCTTGTTTGTTGTCCACCGTGATTTCATTCAAGGACTTCCTCTTCGAACGAGTGAGGGGTCTATTATCCCCTGCATCAGATGTCTTGGCCTTGAGGGATTTCGGCTTCTTTTTGGCATTTCCCACCTCGGTGTCGCTCTTCCTCTTTCCGCTGACTTGGCCGTCCTCTTCTTCGGTCACGGTGCTGCTGGCCGCTGAATCAACACCGTGCTCAGGTTTCACCTCAGATTCCTCCGTCTTTAAATCCTTTCTGATGGTGTCACAAGCCTCTTGGATATATCCCAGGATGCACTGCAGGACCTCCTGGGCGTCGTGCTGAAGATAGCCTTCGTACATGGGGTTCAGCTGCCTGCAACACACAAAGTCAGGTTACAATTGGTTAACTTGTAGAAAAACAATTATTCTTGAAACTATTTTAATGACTTATATAAGAAGTCTTTGATTCTGACAGATTAAGTCCTCATTGTCGGTCCCATCGGAGGCTCTGATTGGTTCCCCTGCTGGAAATATCCATTCACAAGACCCACCCATTGCTCAAACAATAGGTGGCATCATTAAAAGCATTTGATAGGCCTAGTGTAACAAGTAATTGAATTGGCCTAATGTAATGAGTCGTTGATTGGCCATGGTACAAAGTTAATTATGATATTCACCATACAATACATTAAACTAGCTTATCTGCTCCACTACAATACATGGTTAACGGGAATACTTAAATACAAATATTACTTTAGATTTATTTTAGCTTGTAAAAAAAGGAAACATTTGCTGTTGTTTTAGTTTCTATTGCTGAAAAAGAAAAATAGTTTTCATTAAAAGGTAGTTTAAGACATGGGTATGGATCGTGTTTACAGTGTGTAGAAACACCACTTTGATTAGAAATGAGCTATCTTACTATTTAAATGCATCATTTAACCACATGACTACCTGAGTGTGTTGAGTATTTTGCGAGGTGGTGTAGCGAGCTCTCCCTCGGTGAAGCTGTCGGGGTTCAACAGGAAGCTGGACTGCAGCTGCTGCACGGATGTGATCAGACTGTTGAAGCTGCCCAGGAGCTCAAGCTGAGGCGTTAGAGCCTCAGAGGCATCTTCTGACTGCTGAGAAACAAAACACAAACAACAACATTATAAAACAAGGGGTCTGAATTGTAGCTTAATTCTACTAAAATAATTATTGTTAAAATAGAATTACAACTGATATGATAACAGAAGCACTATAGAGTGTCCGATTGTTATTTATACATGCCCTACCATTTAAAATGAAAAACGTATGATTCTTACATTTTAATTTCAGAAGCCCTGGTTCTTGCATATACATTTTGTTTAATAGAAATCTCATTTATATTCTACCAACCTCTTCATTTTGATCCGTTTCTTCCTTTGGTTTGTCCGTACTTTTCGACAGGTTGTACAGTTTCTTTATTCCTTCTCTAAGCCCTGGGCAGTGGTACAGCACCTGCAGGAGAAATCAGACATAAAATCTAAATCCTATTTAAAATTATCCATCTGCACAGAAAGCTGAAAAACACTTCCTCTAATTGTTTACAGGTATGGACTATTAACCCTGCTTGTGGTTTCTTAGAGGATAAAAACAAGTGACACTTTGAACGTGTGTGCTGTGAGGATGAAACATAGCACTGCTGAGCAGCTATGCCAAATGATGTGTTAACAGTGAGCTTTATTGTTATTGACAAAGAAAGCAATGTTGTTTCCTTGACAAATTATTTCTTGGTATCGGGTTCATGATTCTTTATGCAAGACAGGGCCTGTATCTTGGCATTACATGTTATGAATTGTTTAATTTTATGACAAAACAAAATTAAATCCATGATGATGGCCGGATGAAATGCATCACAATATATTTGTGTATATATCTTCCAATTGGCATGTTTCCTCTAAAGAAACGGCATTTCATGAGACTGTTTTCAAATATAAATGACCCTCATGGTTGCCTGTGTTTTTACTGAGTTGAGTCATACACTTCAATGTGTAAAGCATGATCCTTTCTAACTGTGTTACATACGATATACATCCATTCTGTCTCTGGGGATGCCCCACCTGTAGGATGCTGTTCAAATAGCAGGTGTTGCCCAGGTTGTTGAGCCCCACAAATGGCACCAAGGTCTCCCTCTTATCAGACGACAGGAGAAGGCCAGGTGAGGCAGGACATGGAGAAGGACCGGGCACCACCTGATCACAGCTGCTGCACAGTGGAGACCACAATATAATTTAAATTTAAATGAAAGACAAACATCATCAAACATCAGTTATTTGTTTCATCCCTGCAGTTTTACTGGGGCTGCACTCATTAGCCATGGTTGTATCTCTACCCAAATATCAATATAGAAGATATCCTTGTCTACATATATTTTGAAATGATCAGACAATGTGATGTAATTGTGTTAAGTGACTGGCTGGCATGTATTTGGCAAGGACCAACAGACAGCATAACTACACACGTCATACCTCAACAAAATGTCTGGTTATATCAGTGTTTGGAACTTTGTATGACCAAAAATAAAACCACAATGACAGCCCATACGCACCTCGCTTCAGGCTCCACTTGTTTAACGGGTTTGGGCTCATCTGCTTGAGGTTCAGAGAAATCCAGAGCCCGTTTAGCTTCTTTCTTCTGGAGGAACTTCAGAGACAGTTTGCTCTTCTTCACGGGGCTCGCCACCGCAGCATATTCCCCCTGCGGACCTGGCATCTTTCTTCAGGTACCGTCACCTTAAGGAGGATATTTTTCTCTACAGCGAAGCAACAGCGCACCTCACTGGTAAAAAATAAAAAACACAGTTGTATTTCAGTGGGCGCCATCAGAGTTCAACGAGAACGAAAGTAACACTGCGCAGTTAAGTAACTACGGTACAACCGAGTGAGTGGACCATTTTAACGTAGACATCTCTGGTTCACTTAAGTCCAACCCGGTTACCGAGTGAATAACGAATAATATAATATGTTAGGCGGCTAACGCTAATTTACTGCACCTTCATTTACATTTGAAATGTAACCGTTAACATGAGGAACCGTCGTGTTATGCGCGTTTGGAATTAGCAATGGCGTGATGAACAGCGAGTAATAATCTGCATTTTGCAGACAACACAGCCTAAACTGGGTCAAAACGGTGAAGAAGTGGGAGGAGAAAACAGCAGCACGCCGTTTCTAACAGTTCACTTCAACAAAACTAACTCTTAATATCCCTACAGTGTCTACAGCTCTTTGATGCTTACCTGGATGAGTCATTCCTGATAGAACTTTTAATATGTCACGAAATATCCAGTCTTAGAGATACTTACACGGAGATATTTACAGAGTGTTTGTCGATTCAGGCAATGCAGCAGCAGAAGTTGCCGCTTTTTCCTGAAGGAAGACCGACTGTCGGCTACACTGCCGGGAAACACCGACACGAAAAACACAACATCTGTCAAAAATATCAAATGAACATCCACTCCTTGATATTAAACGTATATCTGACGTATGCATGAAGCTTGTAAATGTGTGTAAAATTGATTAAAAATGTATAACTATCAAGAGTCACACTTCATAAAGCAGGCGCATATTTAGTCAACTTTTAATTTAGGACCCAATAGCTAGCTTCAGGCGCCATTTGTGTAGTCCTCTATCAAGCTGCCTAAAGTTAGATCGAACAACTGTTGTAAATTCTTCATTAAAATAAAAAATGAAAAAGGACTTGATTCAACATGAATCCATCACTTGATCTCCAATTAATAAAGAGTCAAATTAAGGTAAAACTAAAGAGGAACATATTTGTAATGGCATTGAATTGCAGTTAATCTAATACATTTGTAGTTTTAACTGCAGGACTTACTTATACATTATCCAGTATATGCGTAACAAAAACAAACGCTTTTATTTTGAAGAGAGTAAACGGAAGTAAGGTTATACTTCGGTGGAATTGACAACAATCCTTCTGCAGAACTCAACATCAAAACGATAAGTTTATGCTTTTAACATGATTGAGACGCATGTCCAAACACTTACTCTACACTATACATGTATTACATTCATATAAATACATTTATTTTACATGAACACATCGAAGAAAACAGCTTGTAACAGTGAACGGTTATAATCGGTTTTAAGGGGCAGTGTTCACCGTCAACCGGCAGGGAGCGACATTGTTCATATAAATGAAGGTTAAAGTATCCAGCATCACTCCCTCCTCCACTGGAGCATCTCTTCATCTGACAGGCAGCACAGGCTACCCTTCCGCAATTCTTACGGTAAGACACTATTTACGATTTCCAAGCTTTCTGCGTGAATAGATAAACTACAATCTGCTTGAAAGGCGAACAGTTAGAGTGGCCTTTCTAATCTCTGTTTCGGTTAAAGACGCCTATCAGTTGTAGTGTTTTAATTTGAGTGGGGCTACAGAGTGTTGTTGCTGGCGTGCGTTTTATCATACGGGAAGGTTCGCAGCAATTGAATGTATCCCAAAAAGGATAGTACATGTGTGTCGTTGTATTGCATACAGACAGTATGGGCATTTGTCAACACGATGGTACATGTATGCAGGACGATCCGCTGCTGGTGCTGCTGCTGCTGCTGCAGAGTGGTGCTTGGTCAGCAGCACAGATGTATCAATGGATATTCAGCTTCCAGAATCCACTCTATTTTCTGGCTTTGCGATCAAGTGATGTTGCAGTAAAATGCTGTTACAGTAGTGGATGGGAGTAAATTACAGTAACAATGTGTTAGTGGTGGTAGTGATGGAGCTACAGCATGTTATGACAGAATAGGTCATCTCTGTTATGGGTTGGCTTTCAACAGTATATCTTAACTAAATTAGTGTACCAGAAATCCATGTCTCAGTTGAATTGGGTTTGGAATTATATTATACCCCATGTATGATGAATAATACTTGAATGAAATGGATTTCATCACAGATGTAGTATACAGCAGGCGATTAATCCAGGGAGCACTAGTTGGGAGATGTTATGTTCTCTCACATCCCATCTAAAGCCCTATCAGGAGATGCATGATAAAAAGGGATTACTGTGCCTCACTTCCCTCATCACCTCCTGATAACATCATTTTCTCAAGGGGAGCAGATCCTGTGCCATGCATGTCCTAAGCTCTGTGAAATCAACGCAATGCCTGGTTTTGATTGGCTATTGCAATACACTGGATGCAACAGGATTGCCACTGAACAAGGTCATTGGACGGATTTGAGAAAATGAAATGGTAGCAGAGATTGAGCCTTCCTGAAAAGGTTTTTTATTGAGACATTCAGAGGACATGAACAACTGATTAAAAGAAGAAACAAAACATCCACCTGTTCCTAATTTAGACAAACTACCACTAATGTGACTGCAAACATTACAGAGATATTGCCACTTATTGGCGGACCGCACAAGAATGTAACCCCTAACCTGAAGGAGTAATGAGGACCATTCTCCATGCACCAAGCAATAGAGGATGTCTTTATCAAGGCCGGCTTTGTCCCAGGAGGCACTGAGCTCTCGGGGCCGGAGCAGCAGAGGTTGGCAGCTCAAAGACCTGGCCCATGACACAAAACACCCCTTCCTCCGGCATCCACCCATCGCCTCCCCCATGAGAGGAACACTGGAGGGAAAATGAAAGCATGTTGAGCGACAGGCAATGCTGCACTCCAAGAATGAGAAGCATGCCCTGAAGTCGACTTAAGTTTACCTCTCAACAACAAACCCCTCTCTACACACAAGCGTCTTCTTTTCGTATTTTTTTGCAGGCCTGCAGGGTACGGCAGTTTGCTCCTGCCTTTAGTCTAAGCTTAGTAAGCTGGCTGCGGGCTATAGCTTCATATACAGATATTAGAGTGGTATCAGACTTGTCATTCATCTCTCCATAAGAAAGAATATACACATACTTTACAAAATGTAAAACTTTTCCTTTTCACAATCACTTAGTGCCCAAAACAGAAGGGTATTTAACACAGAAATACAGAATGACACATGCAGTGTCCTTACTTACATGTCAGAAGCAGAAACCATCAAATGCAATTGTGCTTGATTAACAATCCAAAATGATTAGCTATTTTTGAAATTATTTGAACATATATTGTCTATATCTTTAGACATAGAAGTGATTTATTCCATCTTAAATCTTTTAGTTGGAAGGATGTTTAGAACCCGGAAGGCGTGACAATATCCAGTATTTTCCAAAGTTAATTAACTTTTTAAGCTCTTTAACTTACTAAGGGCTTTTTTGCCACAAAGACTGTTATCGCTCTCCTCTCCTATCAGACACAGTATTTATTTTCACAGAGCGCCCCGGCTGACATCTCACACAGGCTCTGTGGAGTCCAGAGAGGGTGCCTCAAATCTGCCAGTAAAAGCGGGTTAATGAGATCCTGTGTGAGTGTATGCAAGTGTGCATAACCTCACATGCATATGTGCATATCAGATCAGGAGGATTTCTCCCTCCTCTCTCTCTCTCTCTCTCGCTCCTTCTCTCTACATACTTTAGTTTAGAGCATCTGAGCAACTCCCATCTGATGCATGCGGACGATGTGGGTGTATCCAGCCCAGCCGCTCTGATGTTGGGAAGCGGTAACTCTCGCATCCTACTCAGTCTGCTCTCTACTCTCCGCTCTCTTGTTTCAGCCGGTCTGTCTGCCCTCTAACGTAGTACTCTCCTTTCACTCACCACTATTCATCACCATCCAGGATATATTTACACAAACCCACGCAGGTAGATATCATACTGTCCCAGTGGACTGAAGAGTTTGCCTGATAGATACAAATATATGTATATCACTTTGGAAAGAGCCAGACAGTGGGAATCTGTAGTGGTGCTTTTGAAGCTTAAGTTTTCTCCCCAATACGTTTTTTTTTTGTCCCAAAGGATACCACACGCAGCTGCAGAGGTAAGACAAGGATAGATGTGCTCTGCACTTTTTGCTATTTTCTGGTTTGCACTCACTCTCTTTCTCTAGTTCTTGTGTACCTCCTTTCTCATCCTCTCATATTTACTCTATTATCATGAAGTATGTTTTGTAAGTTATTATATTCATTCATTCTCTGCTCTTCCTTTTATTTCACAATGTAAAATATGTGCTCTATTTTCTTATCGCTGTCTCAGTGCAGTTAATTGAAATGTCATTATTGAGTTGAATCTACATTTTCAAACCAGCACACATTTATATAGAATCCAGCCACGCTGTTATCATCTTTCTCTCTGCGTGCTGATAATGTTTATTATTCGGATATTCTTGTATCTGCGTGGTAATCAGATGCCGGGAGTGAGGCATGCACGTACATATTTGTGCACATGCTTACAAACATAATGACAAAGGGGCTATCATTATCTGTCTGTTTGTCTTTGACGTCTCTTTATACCGTTGATCCCTTCTCTGAGGCATTTTTTAGGTAGATTCCCTTCTGGCCTGACTAATGTCTTTCAGCTGGTGCACATGCATATGTTTAAACACACACATACTGCATGCTAACCAGTCAGTGGATGGAGCTGGAGGAAATAGGGAGTGATGGTTGTTGTTTAGAGGGTTTCATATGCAACTTTTGCATGGTTGCATCCTAGCGATCTGCAGGCATTCACTCCGCTTCTTTGCTTCTCTTGCAATTCCTCCATTTCTCTCTCTCTGTTTATGGCAAAACCTCGCTGTCTCTCTCTATCTCTGCTCTTTTATGGTGTGCATGTATTCTCAGTTAGTCTTGGTCACTGCTCTGCCCGCCTGCCACAGAGCATTGTCCATGGTTGGTTGGATAACCGCAGCTACACAACATTAAAAAGGCAAAGTGTTCCTGTTACATGGGGCATGTTTACAGGGTTTCACATTGTGTATGAGTGTGTGTTTTATGCTGCATTCACTGACATTAAGAACTCTCCATCCCTGCTCAGGTTAAAGGCCACATTGTAATTCTTACAAACACAAAAACACACACACTCACTGCCCTTAAAGATCTGGCGGACTCGCATTAGCGTACAGTCTCCCACTGTTTGTGTGTTTATTTTTGAATATGTGTTTGTGTGTCAGTGTGATTTTCTTGGAGGTGCAGAGAGGTGACTCATACCAGCTCTCATGCTGGTGGCTGCTATATGCATTCACTGTAACCTTGCCATGATATGCAATTTGCAAATAAGCATTGTCTGATGAAAGCATGTATCTGTGAAATGTCAACAGGCAGACTAATTTTTAGCACATACAGCATGAATATTCAAGGTTATGGACAGCTTTTAAAAAAAATCCCATATCTCATAGAATTCTCTAAACACACATTTTCTAAACAGTGGGTCATCCTATCTCCATAACAATTGTCGATGACATTTATCTCCCCCTTAGGCTGACATTTAAAACTAAAGTGAACCCCTGATTTTGGAGATCTTTTTTTGGCTTTTTTTTTTTTGGATTCTTACCCGGGTTGCACTGAAGACTCAAAGCATCATTGTTTAATCACCTACAGAAGGAAAACAATGATTATCTGGTTTAAACTAATTGTCAGGAAGTAGTTCAGTTTGGTCCAGCAGTGGAAACCAGTCTATTAGGGACCAAGCCTTGGGTAGAACTGTATAGTAAAGGCTTAGCAGCTTAATCTGATGTAAAGTGAATTGAAGCACAGAAACAGACATACACACACACACACACACACACACACACACACACACACACACACACACACACACACACACACACACACACACACACACACACACACACACACACACACACACACACACACACACACACACTGGGCCCACCCAGAATATGTAGCCACTCCAGTGAGCATCTTGGGATGGCTGCTCTGATACAGAGTAAAGCACAGAACACTCTGTTCACATGCTACGCCATCACTACCCAGCATGAATACACACACACTGCTGTGGTTGTGTGATTGTCATGATGGTAATTATTCTAATTAGTAATCTAAAGTTAGTTGTCAGCAACAACACAAACCACATGGCACACGACACGTTTCCTTCACTTTGTAGTGATGTGTCTGGCGCAGTATGCTGCAGGTTGTTTTCTCAGAAAGCAAGATGGGCAGTAATGTGCATGGTGTGTGTGTGTGAGCGTGTGTGAAGTTGGCCGGTGCTAGTCGATGCCAGGCTGTGCTCTGTCTTGACTGGCCGAGTGCCTGGTGCTCCCATGTGGTTCGTTTTCTCCAGACTTTCACTTGCACTGACTTCTCCTAAAGCCATCTGAACCTGTAAATACCTCTGTTGGCCCACACAGCGGGAATGTGTTGGGGCACAAATGTGTGTGCTTAGTTAATTACTATGAGTATTATTAGGCCACGGGTTGTATCTGCTACAGTTCTCTATCGTATGGACGGTTCGTCCACACGAGGCCGTAACGGAACCGTGGAAACGGAACCGTGGAAACGGAACCGTGGAAACGGAGCCCTAAAACGATAACGGCTCCCAAGGTGGGTAGATCTGCGGACGAAACGCTCTGGGGGGCCAAACGGCTCCGTGTGTACGTCCTATACGATCATTTCCTGATAACGATGACGCCATAGCCCCGCCTCTCCCCACTTCTGCTGCTCACCCCCGCGTCACCCGCGTCATTGCTGATGTGTTTTGACAACAATGGCGGATCACAGGGTTGCTTTCATGCTCCAGACACTACTGACCATGCTACAGATGTTAGTGCAAAATCTACAGCTCCTCTACCACAACCATCAGCAACAAGTGGACATGGAGAACTACATGAACTACATGTTGCTAAATCCACCGCGGAGAATAAACAGAAGGGCAACCAGGCAACCATGGCAACCATGCTCGGGGGTCTTCTTAGCTGCTTTTGGTGTATTTTGTGGCGGAAGTACAGCGCCACTTACAGGCCCGGCATATGTACTATACAGCGTCTCCAGCGGGTCGAGCGGTCTCGTGTGGACGGACACGTTTCATGAGCCGATTCCGTGTGGACGGAAGACTTTTTTGATATCGACTAAGGTGCGTTTTCGTCTCTGTGTAAACGTGGCCTTAATGAACCAAAAAACCCACTGCTAAGACAAAACACATCTTAGCCGCGTTCACACCGCAGTACTTTTCCCACTTTAGTTCCGATATAGTTCCGAAATGTCGCATTCACACCAAAAAGAGCCGGAACTAAAATGAGTTCATCAGAACCTTTTTTACCTCCTTTTCCGTCCCTGCTAGAGAGCAGGTACTTTGGTGGGAGAAAAAGGTTCCTATGTCTGATTGGCTGGGCGGATTGCAAACCACGCCCCGTAAAACTCCCAAAAAGTTTTGTGAAGCCGCCATTTTATTATCCTCGCATTAGCATTATTAGCATTAGCATTAGCCCAGCGCAGAAACGCAGAGAGACTAACTTATGGCAACACAAAAGAAAACTTGGGAGCGGTGGAGATGAGGAGGTGTCGGCGTTCTGGTGATTTACTCGGAAGGCTTCAGTAGAAGCTGCTGGGAGTCCCAGCAGCTTCTACTGAAGCCAGTCCCCAACTCCGGGGACTTCCGGCTGCCCAAAGCAGAAGAAAAAGAAGTGACGTCAGTGGCTTCATTTGCCTAATCCTTCCCCAGGGACTTATTCCGGTGTGAACGCGATCTCATGAACCTTTGTGGGAAAAGTACTGCGGTGTGAATGCGCCTCTTGAATAGAAAAAACTGTTATGGTGTGAGCTTTCGGAAAGTCCTACATGCAAGTGTACTTTAATCTAGCCATGGAACAACACAAGGTTGTTTTTTTTTTAAAGTTTATCTTCACAGTAATTCTAAAAAAGATGTTCTGTCATGGAACAAGTTGCAGAGCCTGGGTTTAGGAGCTTAGGGCTTCTTTGCTGTGCTGTGGGAGGGAGAGGGACTCCCTAAACTCTCAGTGAGTGTCAGTCAAAGAAGCCAAAAGCCCCTTATTGGGAACACACAGATACATGAGAGCCAGGAGTCAGCAGGCTCACAGACACACACCAGCTGAGCGAACGCCTAGGGATTGCACTGCTAATCTCATTCTGTGTTGACACTCTATGCCTCAGCTGTGCCATGCTTTCACAGCTCTCTCTCTCACCATGTTGGTATCCCAAAGCTAGAGGTGTGCTCCTTCCTATCACTGTCAGCAGAAGGGAGAGTTCACACCGTGCTGGAGGTGTGTGTCTGCTCGGTGCCAGCAGCACATCTGCTCTGCGCACTACAGCTTCCCACAACCTACACCAGTGCACCACTTCAGGGAACTGTGGGACTTTGCAGAAGTTCAGATGAAGTGGCACTGTGGGCCTCAGGTGGTTTAAAATGTAGGGGAGAACTGACAGGAGACATTCTCAATGTAGTCTGAATTATTGGATTATCCAACTTCAGTCAGAACAAATGTATTTCCATCTAGTTTAAATGCAATTAATCGTATAGCTTTTTCTTTAAACTTTCTTCAAATGGTTCATATGTCTGAAATAAAGTTTAAAATGAGTAATGTATGTATTCAATGAAAGTGTTAAACTAAACTTACCTTTCACAAAATAAAGAGTTTGTAGATATACAGCACTCGCGCCTTTGGGTTAGGGCAGGGGTCTGCAACCTTTTTGACCAAAAGAGCCATTTTGCCCCCTTTTCCAACAATCTTTTTTGTCTGGAGCTGCAAAACATATTTGATAGCTTGATAGCTTATAAAGTTGTATTTATTGTTACATCATAGACAAAAACTACAGTTTTTTTGCATTTATTATTTATTACATTATAGAAAACTGTTTACCTCTAATAATAAACAAAGAACTCTTATAAGGAGAATTAAAATACACAGGCCTACTTTAAAATAAATTAAACACAGCACTTGGGCAGTCCTCTGCACATTTGAAGGAAAACAAATATAATTAAAATTGACCCACTTTGAAATAAATAAAACATATAGCTGCACCCTAAAAAGAGTTAACTGATTGAATTATGACTGAAGATCGTCAGCTG